TGAAAAGTTTTTTTTTTTTTTTTTTAAAATCATTTGTGCTATCTCCTACATTTTCATTGACTCCAATCAATCTGAAGTTGTTCTTTGCCTCATGTAGCAGCTGCTGGTTTAATTTCTCATGGTTCCTTGCTATCTTTTTATTTTTATTTATTTTTTGGCAGAACCAGGGATTGAACTCAGGCCCTTGAACTTGCAGTCTGGCACTTATTCTACTGAGCCATCTCCCCGGCCCTTCCCTTGCTATTTTTAAGAATCTGGAATCTTTCTTTTCATGATCACTAACTATAAGCCTGTCTTCTGTATCTTAGATCTTGTCCTCACATTGGCTTCACCTGCTGTAGATACTTTCAATGAAATTTTTACTCTCCTGGATATCTGCTTGAATCTACCTTATGGATTCCATGTCTTTCCTATCTGGGCATTCATAGTTGCTATCATTTTCTTAGGCTCCTTTTGTGTGTGTGTGTGTGTGTGTGTGTGTGTGTGTGTGTGTGTATCTAGAGTCACTAAATATGGTTTTCTTTGTGGACATCATCTCTGAAGTTATCTGAGAAATTATTTCTGATTTGACATTTTTCTAGAGCCACATTCAATTGCTTTGTTGTTACCACTTTAGAGAGGCCAAGTAGGTGGCTTTTGGATTGTCCCATCTCATTGCCCCCCAGGTTTGCCTTTGGTGAACTGGATGTCTGGGATTGTATCTTGTTTAAGTATCTTCTGATTTTCTTTTCTTTTAGCTTAATTCTTGGGGTGATGCTTCTAAATTGCCTATGGTGGATTGCTGTATTGCTAGTATTTAGAACCCTTAGGAAATGACTACAAGGTTATCTTCTAGCTGTAACTGGTTTTTGAGTTTGGAGTCTGTTGCAGGATTATATGTCTTAGCTGGACGTGGTGGCACACACCTGTAGTCCCAGGACTCAGGAAGCTAAGGCAGCAATATCATTGCAAGTTCAAGACCAGCCTGGGCTACAAAGTGAGATCAAGGACAGCCTCAGCTACATAGTGAGACCTTATCTCAAAAAGACAAAAAAAAAAAAAAAAAAAAAAAAAAAAAAAATCCTGTCTCTAGTATGTTGGGATGGGAAGTTGCTGCCTGTTTGGCCATGCCCCTGGTTGTTTCACACCATGCCACAATATTTTCTATGACCCTTAGTCTCTCTGAGTCTTGGAATACCAGGAAGAATGGCTGTTTAGAACAATTATGTCACTTTTGGCTACAGTGCCTTTAGCAATGACAGCAACAATCACAGCCTAGAAAATGATAAATTGAGGTAATCATTAATTTGCCACCTTTATTTTTTTTTATTTTATTTTTTATTGTGCTGAGGACTGAACCCAGGGCTTCCAGCTTGCAAGATAAACATTCTACCACTGAGTTAAATCCCCAGGCCCCAAATTTGCCACTGTAAACCTATGAACTACATTTGTAGCTATATGACAAAATGTAAAATAGACTTCAAAATTCTGTGCAATATATAAGTTCTCAATATGTCAGTTTTACCTGTTGTGGAGCTGGTATAAAACCTAATAGAAAATGCTGTGCATCAAGGAGTTGGAAGGCAACCAACTTTATTATGCCAGCCAATGGGCTGATGGAGGATCACTTCCAGAGTATCAGCCCAGAGCCAACTTTGGGCTTAGTTTATATAGGTTGCAGCAGGAAGTACAAAGGCTTCAAAGTTGGTGTAGTTTTATTGGGTAGCATCAGTCATCTCATTGCTGGGCAAAAATCCTTGAAATAAGTGAGTGATAGTGTTGGTCATCTCTGCTGGACAGAAAGTCCTTGAAACTAGTTAGCAAACAGTGTTTGGGGGCTAGAAAGTTCAAGCTGTACAGCTGGGTGTGGTTAAACAGCTGGGTCAGGTTATCTGGTTTAGTCAAGGCTCAGTGAGTCTTAACAGGAGCTACCTGGTGGGCTCATCTGATCTCATTTTGTCCTAATATAGTGTCTATTAGTTGATTTTTTTTTTATTTTTAAAATATTTTCATATTTTCTGTTCAATTTTCTCATTGCTGAGAAAAAATGCCTTACTCCCAAAATTAAGGAAAAATTTATTTAGCTCATGGTTTGTGAGGTTTCAGTCCATAATCAGCTGGCTCCAAGGCAGGGTGGTGTGGCAGAGGAGCAACTAACATTTTAAAGAGGTAAGGGCATGTCCTTTTCACCCCAGGATGTAGAGCTGCAGAGTTACTTAGTTAAGCTTCTTTTTTTTTTTAAATTTTATTTGTGTGTGTGTGTGTGTGTGTGTGTGTGTGTGTGTGTGTGTGTTGGTGTGTGTGGCCAGCTCAGCCCACCAGGGAGTGGGGCTGGCTGGCATGTGGTGCTGGGGGATTGAACCGCGGTCGCTGTGCTTTGCTAAGCTTGTTCTAAGTCGGTGCTTTAGACCACTGAGCCATCTCACCAGCCACAAGCTTCTTTTTTTTTTGCCGAACCGGGGATTGAATTCAGGTCCTTGCACTTGCCAGGCAAGTGCTTATTCTCCTAAGCTTCTAGACTTAAATTGACACAATGTATCAATCCTAACACCATTATCTACCTTTTAGGATTTAAACTTTGTAAGTGGTTAGGGAAAAATAAAAGATTAAGAGCAAGGCTAGAAGACAAAGGAGAATCATGCTATCTTTGGGAAACTGGTGTGGAAAGCTGAAGGGGAAGAGATAAAGAGAACAGAACAACAACTACAAAGGCTAAAGCACATTCACACTCATAAAAACAAGATCAAACAAAAAATGAGAGGGGAAAAAAATGTCCACTTCCAGGTTTGTCTCTGCTGTCACTGGTGGACAACAAAGGTGTGGAGACAGTCCTGATCCGGGCCAGTCTATCTCAGCTCAGCAGTAGCTTTTTTATCAGGGTAGTGGATAATTTCAGTGGGCCTTCACCTTCTGGCCAAGACCAGACTCATTTGGTCTATAGCCATCAGCACAGACTCATTTGGTCTATAGCCATCAGCACATCTTCAGGCCTGAGTCTAGCTGAGAGCTGCTAGATGGAGTTAGCAGCCACTCTCCAAAAAGGCTCCCAGCCAGTTGCTTTCTCAAATGGGACAACTGAGCTCTCAGCACTCTTCACCAGCAAGTGCAGTCCTTCATGTCCACTGCTTCATGTCCAGTGCTGCGTCTCTCTGTGGTGGCCTGTGAAGTCCCAGCTGTCACTGTTTATCCACAGGTTTGAGTCTTTTGTCTTGCTCAGTGACCCTCATCTGAGGGAAAAGGGCACCACTGGCTACCTCATCCTTCATTGAAGTTTCTCTGCAGGCTTCAATTCATGCTGCAGGTCTTTCCTGGGTCCAGGGGACCCACTTCCCTCCTTTTTGTCTTCCTCATATTGCTATGTCCCAGCTGATGTTTCTTGCTCTTCCTCCTCTTCTCCTCCTCCTCCTCCTCCTCCTCCTCCTCCTCCTTTTCTTCATTTT